ACAGTAGTCTGGGCTTTCAGTGTGACTAGCGTCTTGCGAGAGACCCTGTTGCTTTCAGATTCCTGACAGTCTGAAACTCTGTGAGATAATAAACGCTAATTTTTTAATGTGCTGAGATTTGCAGTAATTTGTTCTAAAGCAGTAGGTAAGGAATACAGATTTTAGTTCCTGGGAATGGGGTGTTGCCATAAAAAGCCCTACAATGGATGTGCCTTTGGAAGTAGGCTGTGGGTTTTGAAGAGAATGTTAGCGAAACATTAGGTGCACACAACTTGTAGAATTTAGGGCTTAAAGTAAGGAAAATTTTTTTCTTTTTTTTTGAGAATTCTTCAAGCATAGAGATTTTTAAATTTTATTTGGAAATAATTTTTGACTTACAAAAAAATTGCAAAATAGTTCCCAAATAGTCTTCATTCAGCTTCCCCCAATGTTAACAACTTATATAATCATAATACAATGATCAAAACCAGGAAATAAGTTAACATTGCTATAATACCAGTAATTAAACTCTAAGCCCTTCCCACTGATGTTCTTCTAGCCCCAAGATCCAGTACAGATCCCACATTGCATTTATTACCTATTATTTCTCTTCAGTCTTATTTACCTGTTATTTCTCAGTCTTATCTTGTTTTTCATGACGTAGACACTATTGAACAATATTGGCTGTCATTTTGTAGAATATCCCTCCATCTGGGTTTGATTCAGCAGGTTATGCATTATTATTACAGAAGTGATGTACCTTCAGTGCATTTATGAGTGGGCACATGAAGAAAAATCTTATGGAAACTTAAAGAAAAAAGGAGATTTTCATTATGTAGTAGCAGAAATCATTAGCAACACTGTTTTCAGCAGCAAGGTGGAAACTAGAAAATATACTTAATGAAGTAGGTGATCTACTCAAGTATTTATAGGTAAAGAGAGGAATGTGTCTCCTGATTTTTCCTGGCTGCTTGTTGTGAAATTTGAGGAGAGGGGAAAATCAGGGGAGGGACTATTAGGCCCAAAGAAGCTGGGATGTGATGGGTTGGAGGATTCTCAGCCTCTCCAGATGGCATATGGTGCTAAAGCTAAGAAATGCCTTCTAGGCAGAGATCAGATCCAGGATACTGCCAGGAAAACCTGATGGTGAAGCCAAGGGTGTGACCATAAAACTTTGGTTATGGCAGTAGAAATAGCAAAGGTGGGGCCTCACAGTACCTTTTTGTCAAGCCAAAGGCCCTCTAGAAAGACTAAGAGTGTGCCTTACAGATCCTCTCAACCAAACAATAGGAAGTTTAAGAGTATGGTTGCTCAATGGTTTCAATAGAAGCCAAAGATAAAGAACTCATCTCAAAGAGATTTGTGAGTGTGGCTTTTTACACTAATGCAGTAAATCCTACTCCTGATACCAAGTTCAGAATGTGTGTGTGTGTGTATGTGTAAGGAATCTGTTGTATGAACATGACCGTATGCAGTTGTGGGAGCTAGTTAAGCCATCCCTGTAAGGATGTCTGTGAGGATCCTTTGCCTTGGATGCTCTTGCTTGAAGTCTTCAGGGCAGGCAGGGAGGACAGGCAGATGGATTTAATGGGGGAAAAGGCCGGCACTCACAGAAGCTGGACCCACAGTGCGGGACTGCTCAATGGAGTACCTGTTGCCTTTGATCGCTATGGCATGGATGTCCTGCAGAAGCTGGGGCTCTTCTTCATGGACCCAAAACACACACCTGGCCCAGGAGTCAGAGAATCTTAAGGGAGTCTAGGGCTAGCGGAGCAGCTGACACTGCTGCCTCATGCCAGTGTGGTGACCCGACAGACAATTGACCAGGTGGGCCAGTGTGAGACGGCCGCCGCTTCACCGCCACCCTCCACGTCATGCACCGGAGTCTCCCTGTGGCCCGTCCGTACTGGGATCGCACGGGAAAAGGATTTCTGGGAAATGTAGTTCAGCTGAGCCAAGTTGGCACATGACAAACCAAACACATCAACATCTTGTTTTGAAGAATTTCAAAGTGAAGATGATTTTTAAAATACAGTACAATGAACACCAGCCTGCCCTTCATCTAGACTCATTAATTGTTCTGATCCACTCACATCTCAGTATTTATATGTTGCTGAAACATTGGAATGTAGTTGTGGATATCATGACACTCAGCATCTGTCTCCTAAGAACAAGGACATTCTCCTATATAACTCACATAATTACATTCAAGAAATTTCATACTGGTACAGTAATATAACAGAATACATATTCAAGATTTCCCACTTGTTCAATAATGATCTTTATATCTTTTTTGTGAATCAATTTTAATTAGCTAATACTTTCCCTGCACAAGGCACTGTTTAAGTGACTTTTAAAAAAAATATTCTTTGACCACCAGTATGTACTAGGCCCTGCTCCATTGTAGAGAACACAGCTAACTGATAAGAATCCTGCTTTCATTAAGCTTATATTTTGGAGCTTGGTGAGGGAGCAGGCCTTGACACGCGAGCAGGGTTGCTTGAGAAAAGAATAGCCAGAAGGCTGAGTGAGGGGAGTGGGTGGGAGGGGAGGGCAGAGAGGAGGCAGGGCGAGGTCAATTGGGCCTCGGAGGCCAGCCTGGGCTCCAACTTGCACTGCCAGTGCGGTGGGGCTGCTGGGGCTCCAGCAGAGGAGCGGGGGTCTGACTTCTGTTTCAGCGGGAGTCATCTGGGTGCCCACTGAAGATAGACCATAGGGTGCAAGGACAGAAACTGGGAGACCAGTTAGCACCAAATCCAGGAACGAGGTGGTGACTTGGCCCCAGGTGGTAACAGCCCTGTGACTGGGCCCAGGGAGGTAGCCTTCCCTCCTTCCCTCCCTCCTTCCCTTCCTTCTTCTGTTCCTCCTTCTTTCAAACAATTATGTGCGAGGTATCATGCTAGTCCCATTGAAAAGACACAGTTTATATAGTTCTCTAAGAAAGCCTACTTAAAAAAATTAAAATATAATTCATATACAATGTTGTGTTTATTTCAGGTGTTGTTCAATCGCTCAGTCGTGTCCAACTCTTTGCGACCCTATGGACTGCAGAAGGCCAGGCCTCCCTCTCCATCACCAACTCCCGGAGCTTGCTCAAACTCATGTCCATTGAGTCGGTGATGCCATCCAACCATCTCATCCTCTGTCATCCCCTTCTCCTCCTGCCCTCAATCTTTCCCAGAGTCAGGCTCTTTTCCAGTGAGTCATCTCTTCACATCAGGTGGCCAAAGTATTGGAGTTTCAGCTTCGGCATCAGTCCTTCAATGTATATTCAGGGTTGATTTCCTTTAGGACTGACTGGTTTGATCTTCTTCCTGTCCAAGAGACTCTGAAGAGTCTTCTCCAGACCACTGTTTGAAACCATCAAATCTTTGGTGCTCAGCCTTCTTTATGGTCCAGGAATTTGGGATTTTGCCTACAATGTTTTGTTATGTGTTATTACAAGCTATTTAATATAGTTCCCAGTAAATCTTTGTTGCTTTATCTCTTTTACGCTAGGTAGTGTGTATTCTGTTAATCCCATAATCCTCATTTGTTCCTCGCTTTCTGCTTTGGTAACCATAAGCTTGTTCTCAATGTCTGTGGATCTGTTTCTGTCAGGGACCTCAGTCCCACTTGCCACCACGACAGCACCCGCATGCTGCAACTAACACCTGGTGCACCGAAGAAGAAGAAGCTCCCTGCATTCCTCACACTCGTGCTCTCGCAAGTCTAGTGCTCCCCACCCCCTCTGCCGACTTGCTCATGCTCTTCGTTTGGACTCTCCTTGAGTCTCCAAGGCTAGATCAGACATCCCTGCTATGTGCTCCTATGGTGTGGGGTTGGGGACCCAAAGCTGAGGAGCACAGAGGGAGAAGAGGGAGCCCTGGACATAAGGAGGAGCTGCTACAGAACATCTGCTTGTTCAGATCAACTTGGACAGCCCATGCTGTGACTCCATTGAAAGGAGCATCTTTGTCATGGCTCAGGACAACTGAGTCATAGTCTAAGATGTGTCTCAAACGTTCCGACAGTGCCTGGCCACCTTTAGCCTGAGGGACAATGTCCAAAGCATGATAATATTCTGCTTTTATGCTTTCCATAAAGAGGGCACTTTTCTTTTTTAAGAGTGATCAATCCCATTGGCCCTTAGAAGTGGTACCACAATAGCATCTTTGATTCTCTCCCAGAGCCCAGTCCTTCAGAGGGAAGCGCCAATGAAAACAGGGTAGCCTACGTCCTGACCTGGGGCTGAAATTGCTTACTCTGCCACTGGCTTATGTGTGGCCCCAGATAATTTGCTCCTCCTCCCCAGGTAGTCCTTTATTCACCTGTAAAATGGGTATATTAGTTTTCACCTGCCTCAGAGGTATACCGGGAGGTATAATTAATAGTGATTAAGATACTTTGAGAGGCACAGATTAAAGGCCCCATGTAAGTACCCATCATGATTAATGGTATTTTTTCCTTCGAACACACTGGGAGATGCCCCTCTTAACTTATTTAACTGCATCTTAGCTCCCCATGCAGACGAGACATTATACCCGCCAGGCTGGCCCCACAAGAGACCTTTAATGCCTTGGGACTCTGAAGACCTCCTGAAAGTGATTTGAATCTCTCTTATCCACCTTCTTGGGACATACCCTCAGAATGATCTGACTTGAAAAGTGGCAGTCTTATGTATCATGAATTATCTCCTTAATCCCAGGCATTTCACTAAGTGCAAAGGGGTGGGGAGGGGGAGAGAAAAATGCTCGTTGTTGTTAATTAATAAGCACTGATTGACTTAGCAGTGGTGCAAGCTTTTCCCAGGCCACAGAGAAAACCCAGACATCTGTGAGCCAGCCGAGGACCCATTTCCCAAGGTGGGGAGAAGGGTGATTTATTAGAGGGCAGGGCTGAGACCCTGTTGGGTCCTCAGATTCCTGGGCCTCAGGGCCTCTGCTCCTGAGAAGGGGCCTGTTTGGTGGTTCCCACCAGACACCCCAGCCTTGTCTCACAGAGCACGAGGTTCCGCGCAGGTTGCCATGGGGAGTGCTGACCACCCGGTCTCCCTGGTGGGCCTGTCGTAGGAAGACGTGACCCAGGGCAGCAGGGCTCTCCTCTCGCCTGCTTCTAACCAGCTGCAGGGCCTTGGCCTCACATGCCCGCTCGAGCCCTTTGAGGACAACATGCAGCCCTCAGAGGACGGGGGGGGGGGGGTCTCTAGGAGGCAGAAGGCACGGAAGCCCCACAGTGCCCGCTGTGCGCTAGAGCCCAGCACACGCTCTCTCCCTGCCCTCGTCCCCTGAGGAGAGTGGAAAGTGGCTGAGCCAGTGCCCGGGAGGTCTGAGCTCAGGGCCTGCTCCCGGAGGCTGAGCTCTGTCACTGCTTCAGCTACACAAAGCCATCACTCTGTGTCACAGAGTGAGGCAGGCCCTGCCACCAGCGCAGCACCCCAGTGAGGAGCGACATCCCTGGCTTCAGGCAGGAGGGCCTGGGGCAGCTCCTGTCGTGGCCCCGAGGGTCTCGGAATCCCAGACTCTCAACCAGCTGCTGCCATGCTCATGACACCAACTGAAATGGAAGACAGAGAAGAGCTTGCGAAAGGTGAGGAAAGGCCATGTGTTTTTAAATTGTCTAAAAAAGTTTTTTTGATTGTTAAAAATTTTTTTTTTATCATTTAATAGACTCCCCGTGTATTTAGAGTTTATTTACATGTGTGTATTCAGAAGTGAACTCTGGGGACGTCCCTGGTGGTCCAGTTGTTAAGGCCCAATGCCTTCACTGCAGGGGGCACAGGTTTGAGCCCTGATTGGGGAACCAGGATTTTGAATGTCATGCTGTGTGGCCAAAAAAAAAAAAAAAAAAAGTTAAAAAAAATGAACTCTGTTTCTGTGCCTATAAAAGCACATCATGATGGCATTAACTATATTTGTATCCCAGTCCATCAGCTGGGAGGGGATTGCTTTGTTCTTCTTCTTGATCAGACCTGTCCTGGAATATGGACTCAGTTTTGGTTACCACACGTTGAGAGGGTGACCTTAGAGACGATTCTCAGCTGGCGGAAGGAATGGCAGAGCTGAGAGCTGGAATGAAGGCTTGCGGAAGGCATGCTCACTGTTTTCAAGCACCTGAGTGCTTGAGAGTTAAGGACAGATTAAACCCAGGAGTCAAAGGATGAGGCTTCAGAGAGATAGCCCTTGGCCCATAAGAATGAAGATCTTTCTAGTATCTGACGTGGAATGGACAACCGTGGGGATGGATTCCCAACAGTCAATGTCTGAATGAATGACTGACCAAGACCATGATCAGATGACCCAGGGAAGGTGTGTTGACTTAAATCAGAAGGTCTCTTTCAAATCTCCAAAATATATGCTTTATGATTCTGGAATTTTTCTCAATGAACTATCCGTGGATGGGACATATGGCAATTTTCCATGAACCAGACCTCTTGGTTAGTGGGAACAGTGGAGATTGCTTATGCTTTGTACTAAATACTACTAAATATTAGCTTAATAGTTAATATTTTGTACCATGTTCTACAAGGTTGAAAAGTGCAATGCAAACTCTAAAAGCAATCCATAATTCCCTTGACCTCTTAGATCAGTGTAGGCGGGAGCTGCTGAAATAGTTTGACCAAATTACTTGGTTTAGTGATGCTGGCAACACACCTCTGAGGGCTCGCAGGCCCTGGGGGAATTACTCTGAAAGCAAACATATTCAGCAAGCCACAGGGGCCAGTGAAGCTAGATGGTCCCTGGAGGACATCTCAGTCAACTGTGGTTCCAGTCAGCCTTCAGGACTGAGGCCCAAGCAGCTCATAAGTTAAGAGAAGGCCCCACCGGCAGTATGGTAGTGGCGGTTTGACTCTGGAGCCAGGTTCCCTGAAAATGTCTTCATTTCTTTGAATCTCAGTTTCCTGATCTTTGAAATAGTGACAATAATAATCATACTCGGTTTATGAGATTTATAAGGATGAAAGGAGCTGATAGGGGGTGTTCCAAATGTCTTAATGCAGTTTTAAGCCATATTGTCTTCAGAAAGATAAATACTACAAACTTAGGGGAAGAAATCACTTTAAATGAAATTGAACACTTGTCATTAAAACACTTTAGAAGAGTACCTGGTATATAGCAAGTGGGATTCACATTTTGAAAAACTCTGGTTTGCTGAGAAACCAACCCTGAAACCTCATAGGTGGAATCTCACAGGCATTTATTAGGTGGTTCAGAGTGTATCTGGAAAACAATCAGAACACTGGGCCCAGAAGCTTGTTTCCTATGGCACCTGTTAGACTTGTTTCTGCTCTTAAGCCAGTGGTCTTGAGTGTGTGTCAGAATCCCCTGATAGGCTTTTAAAAAGCAGATTGCTAAGCCCCACCCTGGAGAATCTGAAGAGCTTTTTCATGTGATAACAACGTTTAAATCAGTAGACTTTGAGTAAAGCAGAGTACCCTCCATAATGTGGGTGAGTGCATGATAAGTCGCTCAGTGATGTCTGACTCTGCAACCCCATGGACTGTAGCCCCCCAGGCTCCTCTGTCCATGGGATTCTCCAGGCAAGAATACTGGAGTGGGTTGCTGTGTCCTCCTCCAGAGGATTTGCCTGACTCAGGGATTGAACTCACATCTCTTAATTTTCCTGCATTGGCAGGTATTTACCCTCTTCCGATTAGCTGAAAGTCTTTCTGAGGGAAGGGGGAATTCTGTCAGCAGATGGCCTCAGGCTTGAATTGTAACTCTTCTTTGGATCTCCAGCCTGCCAGTCCACCCTGTAGATTCAGGGCTTACCAAGCCTCCATAATCATGTGAGCGAATTCTCTCTTTTTAGGCATTCCTGTTTGTCTTGTTTCTCTGGAGAAACTTGACCTAATAGAGCACTCACTGCAATATGGCCATGGGTATATTAGGATGCATGTGTACTCTTTTATTGTTGCCAAAAAGTTGAGAGCACATTGAAAAAAAATTGTTTGAAATACTCATTGCCCACCTGAGCTGGAAGTGAGTGACAGATGGCAGTGCGTCATATGCTGTTAGTTGCTCAGTTGTATCCGACTCTTTGCAAACCCATGGACTCTAGCCTGCCAGGCTTCTCAGTCCATGGGATTCTCCAGGTAAGGATTCTGAAGTGGGTTGCCATTCCCTTCTCCAGGGGTTCTTCCCGAGCCAAGGATCAAACCTGGGTCTCCTGCACTGTGGCAGATTCTTTACAGTCTGGGCCACCAGGGAAGATTGTGGTGTTATTTGAACTGATCTCACTTAGCATTAGTCAAAGAGGGATGTTGCTGCAGGGGCTATATCCCTGGTGACAAGGGCAGGCACCAGTTTGATGTTTTGCCTAGAGATGTTTGCCTAGAAACATTTGCTTAGAAATGTTTTGGTAGAAATGATATACTTTTTTTTTTTTTAAAAAGGCACTGCTCATTCCAGAAAGATTCCTTTTTATTATTATTAAATTTTTACTTTGTATTGGGGGCTTCCCAGTTGCCCTAGTGGTAAAGAACCTGCCTGCTAGGAGACATAAGAGCCGCAGGTTCAGTCTCTGGGTTGGGAAGACCATCCGGGAGGAGGGCATAGCAACCCTCTCCAGTGTTCTTGCCTGGAGAATCCCACAGACAGAGGAGCCTGGTGGGCTACAGTCCACGTCTGCAGAGTCAGACGTGACTGAAGCGACTTAGCATAGCACTTTGTATTGGCGGATAGCTGATTAACAATGTTGTGGTAGTTTTAGGTGGACGGCAAAGGGACTCAGCCATACATATACATGTATCCATTTTTCCCCAAACTCCCCTCCCACCCAGGCTGCCACATAACTTTGGGTGCTAAGTAGGTCTTTGTTGGTTACCCATTTTAAATACAGCAGTGTGTACATGTCCATCCCAAACACCCTATCTCTTCCGCCTCATCTTTCCCCTGGCAGCCGTAAGTTCATTCCGCAATTCTGTGAGTCTGCTTCTGTTTGGTAAACAAGTTCATTTGTATCATGTCTTTTTAGATTCCTCATATAAGGGGTGTCAAGCGATGTTTCTGCTTCTCTGTCTGACTTATGTCACTCAGTATGACAATCTCTAGGTCGGTCCATGTTGCTGCAATGGCATTGTTTCATTCTTTTTAATGTCTGAGTAATATTCCATTGTATATACATTCCACATCTTCTTTATTCATTACAAATGTTATGCTTTTCAATTTTCTATCTTGGAATATTTAGTCAGCACTTTCAGCTTTGAGGGGTCTTGCAAAAAGTAATTAATATATTCTGACAAGAGCTCTAGGAGACAGCAAGTGTTGTTTCTATTCTATATCCGGTGAGACCAGGTCATAAGATTGACACACATCTGAAGATGCAGCTGGAGACCATACTTGGGACTCCCTGACACCTAGGTCTGTATCTCCTACTGGGCCTTACTTCTTTCCAAAGAGATTCACAGTTAGGGGATCAAAATTACTCTCATTGGCAGTAACAGTGGCCATTTATTGTCAGCAGGCATGTGGTGTGCATGCTCAGTCCCTCAGTCACGTCCACTCCCTGCAACCCCATAGACTGCACCCCCCAATCTTCTGTCCAGGGATTGTCCAGGCAAGAATACTGGAGTGGGTTGCCATTTCCCACTCCAATCAGTGGCAAGCGCCATATAAAATACTCTGCATATACGACCTCATTCAGTTCTCCCAGCAACCACAAGTAGTTAATGAGATTGCGATCGACATCTTGCAGATGGGAAGGACTCAGGGAGGTTAAGACATTTGTTCAAAGTAGCTCAGTTGGGAAGTGATGGAATTTGCACTCAGATCTCATTTGCTCTAAGTCTCAGCCTACACCACCAAACCCAAATGCCTTTTACAGGTCCTGAGAATCGACCTGAGAACAAGAGCTTTGAGGCCAGAGACTCTGAGCATTAGAGCTTTTGAGTATCAATGGACTGTAAACAACACGAGGGCAAGACTAGTTCATAATGCAGCCCAGGGCTTAGCATAGATCCTGACTAGCTCTAGGAATACTTACCCAGTTTGTTTCAAATGGGAAAGGGCAAAGGGGAATTTATATAAATGTCATCAATAGACCAGCTTCTGTTGGCCCAAACTAGTCCTTAGAGGGAAGGCCCTGATGGGTTTTATCATGCTTCCCTTTGGGCTGGATTTGGTTTATGGTGGTAACAGCTTCTTCTGGACAGTGTTT